TAGGACAGAGTGGACCTGCCCCTCTGGGAGTCTCAGAATTGTAACCCTTTACAGGAGTAGATAGCATCCCTTTTCTCCTGCAGAGCAGATGGTGGCTTTGAACTGCTCACCTTGTGGTAAGCAGCCCAACACATACTCCTCAGGGCTCCCAAACACAAAGGAGTTCACATTTCTTCAGCATCCGAGGGTTATTGACCTCTCTGGCAGGAGAGCTGGCCTTGGCCCCTAAGGAAAGGCTGAAGACGTTTCCACTTAAAGCTGAGGCCAGCAAGGGCCACACTGGACTGAAAGGTGAACCTGTACTCATTCGGAGGCAGCATTGGCCGTGAAAGAGGACCCTAGAGGTCCAGTGACATGTTCGGTGACCTGGGATAAGTTCATTCTCATACCTCCGAGTCCCTCTGTCCACCTCATCACACCCCAGGGAATAAGCATCCAAATGCTTGACGCCAATTGCTTCACTCTTTGAAGGAGACACTGTCCAGGCTTGAGTGAGCGAGCCCGCGAGGTGGTGATTTCCAGAAGCGTTCTGACTTGCCCAGGGAGCCTGGCCTGCACATTCCTTCCCGTCTCGTAAACTGTTCCGCAGGGAAGAATCCAGGTTAATGTAAAGTGAACACGGGCGCCAGCACGGCTGCCTTCCTGGTCAGGCACATAGATGCTCTCCCGCACATGTGTTTCTGCCTTCTATCCAGTGCAAGGTGGGATTAAGTATGGTTTTATTCCTCATGTATGGTAAAATGAAATGTCTTAGGATGAACTGCTACTTTCACCATCTCTGTGACTTAATTTCTGGTACTCTTTAATATCTATATCTATCTATCTATATAGATAGATAGGTATAGATATTTCACTCACTGCCATCGATTTTGACTCATAAAGGCCCTCCAGATACATCTACAGATAATAAAATCTGAGACATAATTCCAGAGGACTCCCTTATTTATCTCCTCTGACGGGTGCAGTCTTAGCAAGTTTCTCTGGCCCCTTTGAGTGGAAAATGGCCAATTTCCTTCTTCGACACGTTTCTACTTTACACTGGTTCCAGATTCGTAGACTGATTAAGCGCTTGGCCGCTAACCAAGGCCAGTGGTTCAAACCCATGAAAACTACAAAACTACAGCCTAGAAAAACCCTGTGGGACAGTACTACTCTGTCCTTCAGGGCCACCGGGAATCAGCATCCACTCAGTCACACAGGCTGTGTGTGTGTCAGTGTGTGTATACACACAGATGCTTTTACTTCTCCTGAATCCTACCCAACAACCCTAAGTGTAAATAAATGGTCGGCAATGTCTCCATTTCAACCATGTTTTGCTAACTATAGCTTGATAGTCATAAATA